ATACAAAAGATTCATAATAGATATTTTTTATATCTATATATACGTGATCCAGGGGAAAGTAATAGTTCACAAAAAAGAAAATATATATTCTGAAAAATCTAATATAGACCTGAATTTCTCTGTTCCTACTCTGTTCCTAAGTTCTGTTTAATGGAAAGATCCACTATTTGTAGTATAAGAACCTGACTGCACACTCCTGTAGGGCAGGTTGTAAAGCTGCAGTATGTAATAAGGAGCCTTCACTCCGTCTGCTCGCCACAAAGGGCATAATGACACCAGCTTCAAAGCAATGCTGTCGTAGCACGTCTTCATGATGCAGGAATTGGTACCAAGCTTTACCTGACCTCATTGTGCAGACTTCATCTTGGGAATCTATATCAGATGCATTTTTGGCATTGATAAATCAACCGCACAGCTCGATTCCAGAACGTACACCCCTGCTGAATGCTTTTCTCAGTGCTACCGTCTTTCACACCAAATTCATATGGAGTGGTGTCATCAGGCTCCGAGTAAAGAGGGAAACAGGAAGAGCCCATAAATTAAATTTTAGATCAAATTTTACAAGAATAAAACCTGTATTAAAACATTATGCTTTTGATGAGTATAGCTATCAGTATAGTAATTTTCTGATTTCTAATATCCTCTTTACTTATGCAAAAAGTATAATAAATATATTCAACAAAGAAAGGGGAAAGAACTTGTTAATGTAATTAATATTCCTAAGTATCAAGGCAAACAATCCATCACACCTATTGATAAGCAAATCTGTCAAAAAAAAAAAAAAAAAAAAAAAAGATATAAAATAATGTCACAGGTTAAAAGGGATTAGGTGGATGGACTCATCTCATTACTCGCACAAACCCATCAGCAGGAGCTGGAACCTGAATATGCAAACACCACACTGCCTGTTAGTTCACCTTGGAGCGTAACATAAAGGGACTACGCAGGTTGGTGCCAGCCCCGAAGCGCAGCGTGTTTTGGAGCAGGGCAGGCACACGGCAGCTCCTAGCATAACACCACGGTCACGGCAAATAGCACTGTCCTTGGATGAGTAAACAGGGGAATATCAGGTTGAACTAGAGGGGATGGATGACAGCTGTAATTAGGACTCTTTGGGGATGACAGTGTTTGGTTCTAACAAGAAAAGTTCCAACAAGGTGTTGAGGAATCCTAGTTTTAAAGAAGATGCATGGTTATTATTTAAGGACTTGAAAAATGCATTATAGTGAAAGCCTCAAGAGTGTAACCTGTTTTGTTTAAAAGAAAAAAAAGGAGGATTTAACAAAAAAAAAATAAATGGGTGGGATTAAGGGTTATTTGCGTGGAGCCTAGAATTATCTCTATATGGAACACAAATCATAATGTAAAGCTTAGAAATTGTCAAGAAAAAAATAGTGTCTGTAAATTGGAGAAGCAGAATAGGCAAAACACAAAACTTCCTTTTATAACTGTAACTGTTTTAAATGTTATTAAGCTGTAGAACAACCTACCAACATTAGTTCTGGCTTTCCCTCACTGGACATGTCTAAGTCCCACCTGTGTTTTGTGTTATGTGCAAGGTTATAAGGACTAAATGAGCACAGTGGTCTCCTCTGATTTCTAATCTATTAAGAAAAATAGTTAGAGCCTTTTCCAAAGTTGATTTCAGTCTTTACAAATCTACATATCCTTCACAAACCAAACAAAGAGTCCACCATGGAAGTTAAATTAATGAAGGATTTTAAAATGTAAGTTATTTGAACATTTTTTACAGTGTGAATTAAAGGTTTGATTGTATGTTTTCACAGTTACAGATTTTTATATATATAACTTTCTCAGGGGAGAGCACAAACTGTGCTTCTGAGGAGACAAGATACCTCCCCATCCCATCAGGTTTGCAGCCTTGAGACTAATCGTACACGACTGTGGTAGCGGCTGTTTTTCTTATCGCACTGAGATGTTTTCATTTCAAACTGAATATTGCACAACCCTGCCATGCAGAGCGAGGGCTGTCTCACTTGGACTCCAGCTAAATAGACGGAATGAGGGGTTGTATTTAATCCATTTCAAACATCCAAATGAAATATGCTTATTTGCTTCTTATGCAGGCGAGGACATATTTCACTTAAAGATGAGTCTAATGGAAATAGCAAGTGCTTTGTCATCGGCTTCAGTGAAACCCAGGATTATACTTACAGCACACATGGGAAGATAGGCTTTCTGAAAAGAACATCCTGCAATTCCAATCACTTCATCATGTGAACATAATATACCTCCATATTATACACCTGCATGTTCTGAGCAAATTACATCTTAAAGGAAACGGGGCTTTTTGCTCCTACTTCTACTGTTGGAAGTCTTTCCCTGAATTTGAAATATTTTGTTTCTAAAACTTGAAACCGTGACTTCCTCTGTATCAACTGCTGCCATGGCAAAAAAATGTTTTGTATTTGCTCTTATGGGTGGATACACATTGTTTTCTTAAGATCATCCAATACAAAGACCTGTGCATCAAGAGTTTGTTCTACAAATACAGTGGTTTTATCAGAACTAAAACAGGAATTCTGGATAGCCAAACAATTAATCTTTCCTCAATAGTGTCATCAGGCTTCAAATCACCATCAAAACAGTTAGGGTTTTTCCACCTATGAAGCAACAAGCAACTGACCAATCAAACAAACTTCCATAGTAAACTTACCCAGTTTTTGCAAAAGTTGCCCAGTATCTCAACATGGACCGGCTTAAGATTTCTTCAGCTTTAGTGTAATTCACTCTTCTTTCTAGGGGCAATCCGAACACAAACTCGATCTCATAACCATGCATTACTCCCATCCACTCTGGCCAAGGGAGCTTTGAGGATCGGTGTTCAAAGAAATAAAAAAACACATTGTGTCCTACTTGTGCAAATTTTTTGGTAAATTCCACGGCAGGACATATTATATTGTAATCTCCAATAACATCATCCATGGCATCACGGTAATGTTCTGGCTTTTGCTCATTTTCCCAATCTGTATACTGAAAAATGATCGATTCTATTGCAAGTTGGCTTGCTTCTGGGAAGGACAGAGTTAAAGCTGCTTCAAATTCTGTTTTATTGATCAAGCTATCGCTATCCTTGCTGAAGCCAGGGACTCCATATGCTAGAAATGCTGATCCTTCATCTTTATTAACACCAACTAAGATCTGTGTTTGTTTGAAAAGGCCATTCTCAATCAATGTTTCTGGCATGTCCAAGAGAAAATCACCATCCACAGTTGGACAAAAATATACTTGCAAAAGAGAGTCATATGTTACAACAAAAATTTCATTCTCCAGTATATCCTTTGGGTCCTTGTCTTGGAGGCAGAGAATTAGCTCTGTCTCATTGCTGGTGGGACACTGGAGTTGTTTAGCTAAAGCCACTGTTCTGTTTCTGGCTTCAGATGCTGTTATTGCAGCCCAAGGGGCATTTGCAGATCCACTTTGCATGATGGCTCTTGTGAATAAAGGATGGCTTTTAGGAGAAAGGATATGGTAGCTGACAGAAGCCGAGCCAGCGCTCTCTCCAAATATAGTCACACTTTTTGGATTGCCTCCAAATGCTGCTATGTTCTCCTGGACCCACTGAAGTGCCAATCTTTGATCAAATAAGCCTGCATTTCCAGGAGCTTCCTGGTTTCCTGGCAAAGCCAAAAATCCTAATGCACCAGTCCTGTAGTTCATGGAAACTACAATGACTCTTTCTACCCTGGCCAGAAACTTGCCATCATAGACCGGTAGTGATGTCGACCCACTCTCAAAGCCACCGCCATATATCCACACCATGACAGTTGCATTCTTGGGTTTGGGAGAAGGAATCCATACATTAAGGTACAAGCAGTCTTCACTTAGGTCAGTTTTCGGATTCCACATCTCTGATCCAGGAAATCCCGGGTAAGTTGTATCTATAAGCTGGTAACAAGAGTTTGCATGTTTTGTGGCATCCCAAACATCTGACCACTTCTCACGAGGTTCTGGTTTTTGAAATCTCAGTCTACCGACGGGTGGCTGTCCATAAGGTATTCCAAGGAAGGCTGTCACAGTTCCCCCCAGTACCTGCAGGTTTGTCCCTCTGACTCTGCCTTTCTTGGTTGTAATGATGTTATCTTCAGGCATTGCCTTCCTGATGAACATATACAGGAGAAGAAGCCACATAAGAAATCTGATATAGAGACTTGTACCATTTGTCCAAATCATGATGCCTGAAACACAGGAAAAAAGAAATTCAGAATTAGTATTGCAATATATCAATACCAGAGCCAAAACAGTTCATTCAAAAAAGGTGTAGGTCATCCCAAGGCAGCTGAAAATAAGATGGTGCTGCTGCACAAGGCTCAGCAGTCTTTAATCAGAAGTTCTTGTTAGTTGTGTTGCAAAGACTGTGTTTAGTATGTGGTACAGTGCTTCAGAAAAACTTTGTCACTAAAAAAAAACATAGAACTGAAGAAGCCAGACCAGGGAAGGTAAAGTCATATAAGCAGACTTCGACTACTTCAGTTAGCAGATGACTTAACCACTTGCATTTCCACTGGCACAATGAACATTTTACGATCTGTGACGGAAAACACCATGCCCAACTAGCCTTTACTCTGTTAGAGGTTACTCTGGCAATTCGTATTCTCAAATCAAAGAGTCATAACAAACATCACTAGGCACAGAATTTTCCACGCATAAACACGCACCCGATGAACACTGAAAAGGGGCTTGAAGCCAAGCTTTAATCCAAGGATTTCCAGGTCCACTTAAGTTTTGAACTATATGCCCATGTCACAGCAGATGCCTGGGCTGAAGACGCCATGGAGACGGCATTGCTATGAACCCAAAGCACTGGGTGATTTCACTGTCCTACTCATATGTCTTAAGATCCAAAGGTGTTTTACAAGTGAAGTACATGAAGGACCTCTGAACTGACTGTCAGTTCACCAGCTCCTGCGGGCGCCTGCCTACGGACGTACACCAAGACCTAAATGAAACATTTCTTTCAAGAGCTTTTTTTCTCTAAAGCAACTTCACCAAGTTAACAACCACCATAGTCACTAGAAATAGCCATACTTCTGCTACTTCGAACGAACATTAACATGCGAAAAAGCCAAGGATTTTTTAATATATGTAGGTGGCGCCTAATAATTTAGTCTGTGCTTCCTGAGAACTTTTCAAAGTGACAGTTAATATTGTCTTAAAGCTAAGGGTATAGATGCTGATTATACACCACATTTAAGCATACTAATAGTCCTATTTACCCCAACGTTTTCAAATGCTGTAAGAACCCCAGTATCTTCCCCTTGCAAGTGAAAAGTCAGAAAAAGACTATTTACATAAACCCATTTCTACGGCTTACATATTTGAAAATGCTCAACAAAGCTTCCTTCTATTTTTTGCTTTTTGCCCTGTTGTACATAGTGTGCTCTGTCCTGCCATTTTAAACAGGCCATTCTTTGTTAATGAGAAGCACTTGTGTCCTTAAAAGGAATGAGGCTAATTTCTGTGGAAAGTACAGCTGTGGCCTAATCTGAGCTCCTCTGCTTGTTTGTGTGTTCTTGGAAATCAACTGAGAAAATACGGCGGGGGAGGAGAAGGAAGAATTTGTGCAAAAAGAGGTTCCTAACGTTGAGATAGCATCAAAGGAGCAGGGAAGAAACTTCAGAGACAACATTTTTGGAGTACATCTAAACAGAGAGAAAATAGATAAATTTTAGAAAACAAACATTTACGCTCTTGTCTTTTTATTTAAAAAAAAAAATAGATAAGGTGGTGAATGGGTGCAATAGATTTTGGAGCTGGTCTGACACTCCACCTAGCCTTCAACTTAACTTATAGAAACCTGCAAATGCCCGCACGTATGTTAAACTTTAGAGGTGTGACTAAGTCAACCTGGACTACTCACGTGGTCCAGCAACTCTGGAGGAGTTTGGGCAAGCAGAGGCTGGCTCCGGCAGCCCGCAGTGCCCACACAGGAGGCTCACATCATTTGGTGGCATTTAGTTCCCCTCCCTATGTGCCAGTCATTTTTTTTTTTTTCCCCCCATTCATTCCCCTAATAAAATCTTTTCAGAGTTGGGTGAGAAAAGGTATGTCAAGATTAGCTTGAGGCTAAACTCTTTCACCCTATGTTAACAGTATCTAGTTGGGTATGTGTGCACCCAATGCACAGCACTGTAGATGGGAAAAATAATTCCGACGTCTGTTGTTTCACTGACACTGTCCTTTTTCGCATACTCACTTCTAACATACCACCGAGGACTGAACCACAACAACAAGCTGGAAATAAGAAGAGATTTTCAAACAAGTGAAAATGACACCAAGAAAAGCAAGAGACGTTAAAGTTCCTAAAGCTTTTAATCTAAACAGTAATTAAAATTACTTCCCCTCTGCACTTTCCTGTTAATTAAAAAGAAATGGGATGGGAGGAAAACACTGTAGCATTGCAAAACACAGAGGCATAACTTTTGACCCTAAGAAGTTTTAGATAAGAATTTTATGAAGAAAAAAAACCTAACAAAAATTTCAGTTCTGTACCTTTGTAATTAGCTCTGCAAAAGAACAGGTGGCATTTTAAAGAAAAAGTTTGAAATAGATGAAGCTTGAAAAACACAGAAGTTTTGTACTACTGAATGAGAGGACTTGTCTAGTCTCGAGTCACTCTGCTAATATTAACAAAAGTAGCAAGTGACAGAGAATGATTATTACACCTTGAATGTATGGCAAATATTACTTTTAATAAGGTTTTTAATGCTGCATTAAAACAAACTCAACGACGTAAAGCACACTGAGCAAAACAAACATTACTCGATTATTACTATGAGAGCGAAAGGGTCAGAAGATTGCTTTAGCTCATCAACCTTAACCGAGCAGAGATATATCATATAATGTATTTGCATACTTTAAAAAGCTGCTTTCGTAGTAGTTTCCTCCAGCGAAAGTTAAACAGACTATACTTTTGTATTCTTATTCAGCAAGGGAACACAATTTATTTCAATGACTGTTTCATCTCCTTGTAAATCTTTACCCAGCCAAAAAATCTATACACAAGACTATATAATCACTATTTAAATAGAAAAGTGGCTTGAATTAATAAGCGATTTCTAGCTCAGCTTAATTTACTTAGCCCAGGATCCCTTGAATAATACCAGGGTCTGATACGCACGCCTGCTTACTCGTTCCATTTGCAGAGCAGAGTGAGTTTTCCCAAGAGAGCAACAAATGGGCAGAGCGTAACATTTTAAAAGATCCCAATCCCCGTGCAAATCAAGCTGAACTGTCAATTATCCTGGCAGACAGAGACGTGTAAACAGAGAATCACTTACCCCACTTCTATTACAAGAACTACAAAGTTTTTAAGAGTCAGGATCTTTGAATACTTCGGGGAAAATGCAGTATGCAGCTGCTGCTTTAAGCCCGTGAATTGGACAGTACTGACATTATAATCAACTGTTTCTGACACAAAGCTCGCGAGAGTTGGCAGCAGCAACTTGATCTGCAGGCAGCCGTTCCTTACTATCTGACATCTGCTCACAGGCTAATGGTAGAGTGGTAGAAACGCTACAGAGAAAAAATCAGGCACGAGCGTTTTGTAGGAAAGGGAAGATGCAGTGGTTTGTTCTTAGCACGGGGCAACAATTTTATAACCTGGAAAGATAAAAAAGAATTATAAATATTAGAAAAACCTGCTTCTCTTTCCTTCCTCTTGCCTGGAGCACTGATCTCACCTGTACTTTTTTGCTGTTGTTCAGCTCAAGTTTACAACAATTCTAAAGTACCTAAAATTTTTCTTTTCTCTGTAAGATAAGTAGTTATTTTGGGGTTCAAGCAACTGTGGCCGATAAAAAGGGAGTCTCCTCTGCACAGACATGTCTACCACTGGCAAGCATCAGTTGTGTTACTTGACTCATGGCCATCTGTAGGCTGCTGTAGAAATCTGCGTTGTCCTCTTC